GATCGTTGCAACACTCAAGCCCGACCACCACGTTAAGGTGGCAGCTTTAGGTCGGGAAAGTTTAATTCTGGGTGTTTTGGATAGTCTGTTGATTGGCGTAAATTTATTCTGTGACCTAGCACATATCACCGTAGTGGCTACCGCCAATGTCCTTGCGATTTGCGCATCGGTAGATACATTGTACTCGATAACTTCATCTTCATCCTATTAAGCGCCACCAAAGTTTAAATTTTCTGTCATTCCCGGTGGCCGCATAAACTTAAGGAACCGAGTCAGGCCGCCCATCCCCACTAGCACAAATCTTTTCTTGTGAGCTACATGAGCCTTTCCAGTAAAGTTGCTTGTAAAGTGGTCGTTCCGAATAAAAGAAGAATTTTAGTAAACAATCGTTGTACTTACTGCTGGGCTGCTTACGAAACCTCTCTGAAAAGACGAGTGTTCGATCGGTTCCAAACATCATCCAATTGACTGAAAAAACATCCCTCCTTGATTCACGTTAAGCTCTTAAGCGAAACTACGAAACTAGCCAGCCTGAAAATTACGCATGTACAGGATAATATGATGTGGCAATACTCACTGTAGGTCAATTTGTCAGGGTAAAGGGATGCTAGATGAAAACGGTGTTCGCAAGACCGCTGGGGACGAGAAGGGTGAACTGCGTCACAAAGTGGAGCTTTGTAATGAGGGTAGACGGTATTACTGTACACACTCGTTGCACCGTCACTCAATATAACGGCCTCTTCTTTTTGGCCACCTATGAGCTTGCGCAAACTGCTTTCGCATTGTATTCCCCGTCATACGGCCACTCCATCGATGTTCGAGGATCAGCACTTCATACGATTCTGGCGGCGTTATCGTAGCTGTCGTCGTAAAATGGAGATCATGCAATCTATGTTAATCATGTTTAATTCTTGTGTCCCACCAATACACCATACAACTCCTTACGGCTCCGGCACGAGGGTGACAGCGTTCATCTAACCATGTTTTGCAAAATGTAACTCTGTGCAAGCTAATTTAAAGGTGCTTCCTGGTAGCGCGGGTCGATGACATGATATTCCAACGTGTTCACAGAGAAAAGCGTCTAGCAACGAGCCACAAATGTTGCATTGTCAGTGTAACGCAGAGTGCAGGTTTGCGTGCGATTAATTACCGCTTTAATCGATTAGGAGAAAGCTCGGAAGACTGATGAAAAAAGTTGAATCAACGTCGTCAGTTATTCAGAATACACGAGATAAAGGACATGATACACAAGTCACAATGGCATGACATCGAGTAGACAATACTTGAGATCAGTGGGGCAGCGCAGAGGACATCTAGCTAACCACAAGCCTATTAAAAGTCGACTGTACCGCTTCAGACTAGTGGGGAAAAACAAGCGCTACTGGAAAAAACAAGATACGACATCATAGACCACAAAATATTTGTTGAGATGATTTAAGGGGACATCTATTACTTTTATTTTCATAAAACATGAAGGATATTTTCCCATTACGGGATTCGTCAGTTTACAAAAGGAATTTCGAGCCGCCACGCGCTGTCTTGCTGGTGGAACATGGCATAAGGTTAGCTACTGATATATCTGTAAAGATTAGCTTCGTTTTCTGTGGGACTTCGCTTGCCCGTTGACAACTCAATAGGTACATTTTCAGAACAATAACTGTTAGACCGACGTTCGCAGTGACGAACTGAAAGCCCCGATGTCACTATAACAATAATGGTACTCTAAATCTAGTGCCTCATTGTTCAGAACGCCTGCACTATGCACAGTACAGGAAGCTCAGTACTTTGGAAGCTGCGGACACGTCAGCAGACGTGCCAGTTTAAGGGCAATCTATGCTATCTAGAACTGAACCATGAGCCATATACCCGAAATCCTGCTTAGAAGTACACAAAAGACGCCCAAAAATAGTCGTTCTAAAAGACAATTGGTGAAAGATCTCTTCGGAGACCACTACTGCGTCGATATTGTGTTGTCGCTCTGCTTTTCGCCGTACAGATGAATTAGTATTTGATCTTTCATTTCAATCACAGTTTCACCATTCTCTATCTCAAAGATTCTGCAGAACATGATACACTGTGCTGATTTGAGCAATCCGACAAAATCCTTGAAGCTGTACAGACAATGGAATGCTCGAATTATGGAGGAGCACTTCAGACAAGGTGATCGAGAAAGAGAACGTGGATTGGACTTGAGTCCCATGTGTGATCGAACCACCGCGTCGATCGAGAAGACTCAGGTACTTTCATTTATTGCCCTATTTTACGGGTGACTTATCTCACCATGGAATAGCAGCAGGTAACTCACTGTGGTTTTCCAAAAGTCCATGCCATCATAGACCGGAAGTCCGCAGGTCTCACCACCCAGTGCGTTGAGCTTGCGGTAAGCAAACAAAGCAACACTCGCGAACTACACTGTTTCCCCGTGATAGGAAGACCGTTTAGCCGAAAATCATGAAACGTCCAGTTTTTGAATGATCTCAGAAAAAGTGGTAATTCCGTACTTTTGATTCTCAAAAATCTAGTGTTAACGTTTGGCATGGTTTTATCGGCAGGTTATCTGACAGAATGGTAAAGTCAACCGGCCCCATCATTTCCGTCCTCGAACCCTAAACTCTTCAACTAGGGTAGTAGAAATCATTGCGTGATCCAGTCGGTAAACCTTCACAAGAGGTACTTGATCCCTTTTTGTGGGTGGGAGGGTGTAGTGATAGGCGATGCTGTTCTCCTGGGTAACATTTCTTCGCACCTGTCCCTCCTACGGTATTAATGGTAATAGCCACCGCAGTTCGACAAGTCGCCACGTCACAGCTTGGTACACTATTTAAATTTGAAAAGGAATCTGTTCTGCAGCCTATTCTACCGAAGCGTGTCGAGGAACCAGCTGAAGAGCGACCACTATTGGGCTGTTTATTATTATATACATAATCCAAATAACGTTGCGTATGTATCACTTGTCCCAAACACAAACGTCCGGAAGGGGAGTCCACAAAAATTGCGCACTGTACTAATTAGGCTTTTTGCCTTTGTAATTCGCAATTATTACTTAGTATCCAGTGAAAAATTTAAAGTGGTACTATTGACATGAATTGTTCCTATCTATACAATTTTGTGCCCCAAAAAACAATCGAAATGTTGTTAAATCACAAACGAATGCTCCCGATACCGTCTACGGTTTTCGCTCCATTAACGCTCGATCCCATAAAGCACTATTATGCCTCACAGAAGCAAAGTTATTCGGTAGAAGAATGAGAGGCACCAATATAAGTAATAATAATCGTTCACCCTTTCAGTGCCTAGCTGCCATGCCACCCAAAGGAAGCACGAGCGCTGGGGTGCGGCCAGGCCGCCCAACCCTAGACAGAAGAAGTCGAGATGCAGAAGCCGGGTTCATACCAGCGGCCTTCCGGCCAGTAAATTCGCACTCCAACCACTGAGCTATCTCGCCCCAGTCAACACCAACATCATTTAGTGAACAGAACGTTTAACACTTCAGAGATGAAGACATGTGGGGGTCCACTTTCACATGTACACGACCATCCACCGTTGCCCTCTGGTTGTCGGTATCTAGAGGGGACAATGAGAATAAAAACGCGGATGCCAAAAACACCAGCAGACTAGTCTACAATTGCGTGACGATAAGTGGCTGTTGGTGGATGGGACTCTGCCTTTTCGTCAAACTTTGTGAGCGAAAAGCGCATGGCTTATTACCAGCAGGGCCAATAGAAATAGTCATTATCGTCTGCAGTGCAATAGGTATGACGACAATTAGGGTAATTTCTATCGAAAGTGGGACTACGTTGATCGGGATGAGAATAAATCTTCCTGAAACGACAACCAAGCTACTGAGTTACCAGTTACGTAACATCAGGACTAGCAACTCCGTTCGTGAAGGAATATGATCCATTAATTCGAAAAAAGGGGAAATATCGCTTCGCTCTATCTCACTAAAGATAAATGAGTCCATCTTTTTGCTCCTGTCCCTGTTATTTAGGTCAGCTTCATCGATTACATTGTTCACCCGCTTTGGGAAACTTGGTCGGACCTCGTACATCCGGACGCTCTGCAGATACTGGATACGCTAGATGAAAACCGAGAATGGTATCTCAACCAGATCACGAAGGAAACAGTCAGTGAGGATTCAGAGCCCCCAGAAGATAAGCAGTAACAACATGTTGCACTCAATCCCTGGTTGCAAAGCAACACGCATGCACAGAGTATCTAGCTTTTGTAACACCATCGATTTTGTGGGACAAAGACATTACCTCGACACATTCCGCAAGATCCCCAAACGTGCACCCAGTTGCATCCCAATAACTTGGGTTCATTCCACTCACGGGCCAAACACACATGGGTTGATCAATATCGAAATGACCGGAAAAATGTGTGCTCTAGGAATTAGTTGATACGTGACTGACGCCGGTAATCACCTATCACTGTACCACAACTACTCATTCTGCACAACTACAACTCCGTCCAAGAACGCCACAAAGCACATATAAACCTGCTTCTCTTGGACAGGTTGTCCCATAAATTTCCCTGCCCCTCCACCCTGACCAGTATCCTGCAGCCCCATTTGTTAGCCTAAGAGCATCCAGATCGACAACACACCAGTCAAACTTATATTTTGTTTGTTTGATGAATACAGCGCGTCGAGCTCGAGTATGGGTTCCACTACGGCTGAGCGGAGCCATGTCCGGTACAAGAAAAATCCCGCTTTTGTACAGAAATTTCTTTGTGCAAATAATATATAAAGGAAAACTTGCATGTCAACGTGTTCTATAACCAGTAAAACCCCAGCACATAAGGTCAAAAAGAGAAGGAAAGTACCTGGATGGATCAATGGTGAAAAGGTGTTGAGGCTGGCAGACATGATTATGAATAGTTCAAACAACCGGGTAGTGGAGGCATACCATCATGAGTCAAACTATATAGTCTTGATTCGACGCTTCCCAGTAGTGAACTAGCTCCAAATCGAAGTAGTTCTGGCTGAACCCATTCAGATCCCAGATAGTTGAGAATCAAAGCCGAATATTCCATAGCATCATGTGCAGTTTGTAGACCACCAGCTGGTTTGAAACCAACCTGAGTTGAGGAGAAAAGACATAAAAAGGAATCATTCAATATCACTACTACGGTCGGTAATAGGATGGACAGAGTACCGTTTAGCTCTTACTCTACCTAGAGCATCATGATAAATTAAGACACCCTGAAATGTATCGGGAAATGTCTCACTCCACCATTCATCATGATACAGGAGTAGCCGAGGAACCTACGTAGCCCGCATTACGAAATGGAATAGAGATGTTTCCCTTTGGACGGACTGCCTCAAGTAATCGACACAGTGGTTTTTCCGACAGGTCGTCTCTCGCGAAAGCGGACTAGCGAAAACATCGGGAATAAATAGCGCGAAAGCAAACGTCGATGCCAGACGCGGAGCAGTAAAAATCCTTGTGCGAATGTTTTGGATTGTGTACTGAATTTGAGAAACAAAATTCACAAATCCAGGATTCTTAAACTCAACCAGTTGGTCCAGTAGAAAGCCAGCGTAGCAATGCATGAACTGGCCGCAATAATCAGAGACTCGTGTTCAAAGGCTGGTGAACACTGGAATAGTGATGAGCGGTTTTTAGCACCCTGTATCAAGGAATCACACGGGCCGAAGTTTATGGGAAGCCTTCGATTCTACCACATCAAAAAAGACCCAAAGCAGCAAGTGCCGCGTTGTCACTTCGGAGCTCCACTGTTGCAGACATTAGCAACCACAACTTCTTGACTCGACAGTCTATGAAGAGACTGGTGCATATTTTCTCAAGCTATCCTAGAGGCCCACAACCATTGTGCATTATGATCTATCGCAAGGTGGAATGGCTGAGGCATGCAGCTGCAACACCCTCTGTAAAGGAATTCGTCAGTGTGTTTGTCAATATTCTTCCCACTCTTCCGACGATTTTTTCGCTTTTGTTTAGCACTTGTATTAAAATGAGTTGTGCCTAGCCTGGTGAGATAGATTCGATAAACCATTTCCCGTTCTCAATGAAATTGCACACAGGACCCTCCGTGAACTATAAGATACTGACGGAATTTCCATGGGAACATAAGGAAGAGGATACCAGGTAGGGCTATGGACTGCTTTTCCACTATTCCGTCCTTGTAATCCACATATGACGTGTGCGAATATCTTGACCCACAAAACTGTACAAAAAATTTTGGCCTACGTTGCCGATACAATGGACACCCTATTAGACAAGGAAATGAAATGATAGCTTTAGTCTCCTCGACCAAAATATACCAGGTCACATTGGGAAATCTGTCCCTCCAAAGTCCCAAACATCAATGAACGCTCAAAGGAGCCCACCGAGAATTTTTCACCTGAAGGACTCGCTTCTTCCAAGGGAAGAAGGAAGGACAAGTGGAATACGAAGAAACTGGAAGCACCGAAATTCAAATAACACAAAAACAGAGAACATGAAGGGTTGTTAGAAATCCTATGCTGTTCTTGTGTTTCCCTGACAATCGGACACTCGGAATTTGGTATGCTGTCACTCCACCCGATTATATCATCAGATGTGAACTTGGATTCATTTGAATACATCTGAATCACGATAATGAGGTGTGAAATGTAGTTAGAAACACTCTGATCACAAACATGGTTACAAACTCGGCGACCACTGCTAGGATACTTTCGATCCGATTTGTAATACTTTCAGGAACGAAATTTGGCCACTTCTAGAGTATAGTATACATGAAAGACACGACCACCTAGGTAAACCTATCTGACTAGTAAACCCTACATACTTTCGATAATACTTAAATTCAAACTGTGAACCGGCCGATTCATAGTCTTGATTATGCGAAGGAATTGTCACATTTTAATGAGGTAAGGAGTGTGTCGCGGTATTATTATGCTGAAATATCGCGGATCGCAGGTTTGTTGGAATCACAGGGGGCAGGAAATCCTCCAATGTCCTGTCTGTTCCACTTTTATAATCGCTAACTATGTTTTCCAGCCGCAGAAATCACATCCAAAAATTATCACGGAACCAAAATCGTAAGCTGGACTACTGAAGTCCCATCCGAAGTGAAAACTTTTTGCTCTAAAAATTTCACGACAAACGGGTGAAAGTTCAGGGAGATATAATTCATGGCCCACTACATTTTGTTGAGGGATTATCCAGGAACCGTCGTCAATTTTTACCCAGTTCAGATGTATAGCGCATTGTAGTGACTGCTATCCGCAACAGACACTAACAATCAACCCGAGACCTCTGCGAATTCGAGAACGCAATCAGGTAGCAAGTACAATCCTTTTCGCCTTATGAGAAGTCTTCCAAAGCTCCTTTTCCTAGTTCGATTGGTGAGGAAGATAGAGATAAGTTTCGTTGATTTTCGTATTTTGTCAGTAATCTTCAGTCTTTGTAAGCCAGTGATTGATACCATTCAGTTAGGCAGCATTGATTCACATGGTACGCTTAGCTTTGTTAATGTATAGTCGGTAACCTTGCCCCTCATACAAAGTCAGGTTCAACTTTTAAACAGACAGGTTGTTTGCCTTCAACTTTCGGTAACGACGATTTCGTTATTTGTTAAACATATGGTTGTTTCGGACATATATCCGGGGCGTTTCTAACACCATTTCACATTTCTATGGCACTCTGCGATAAATTGGTTTGGATGAATCCGAGCACAAGCCACATACTTTTGGGTTCAGACAGTGTAATACCAAATTAGATTGTCCTCAGTATTATCATGTCCGGAATGTACATGGGAAATAGCGTGTTTCTGGTGTCACTACATAAGCACTATTATCTCGAAATTTAATCGCCAAATTTTCGACGCCTAATCAGATCCTGTTGTTTAGAACCAGTCGCCCCTCTGCTAATCTTCCTGAAACAAGATGGATCGTTGGATGGGTTGAATCAGCAGCGAATAAGCATGCAGTATCCTTTCTTTGGACTGTCACATCGAGGAAAATCTGATCATCAAGTACTTGTCTTACTAATAGTTTCTAGTCTGAACAACTCAGACGATACTCGACCTCGTCCTAAATCCCAAGACTAATCAACTATGATACCACCGGACCAATGAAGACAAAGATCGGGCAATTGTTACAGCATCCTCAAGTGTATAAGTCTGTCAATGTGCTGAAATATTGGTAAGTCGGGTGCCCTTGCTGGTGATTGATCAGATTGCTGGTTCTTTGTTCGCTGAGTTTGGCAATCAGCTTGCAAACTCAACTGTTTACCGGCGATGTTTGCTTGACTGGGGACGAAACGCTTGCATACTAATTGCTTGGTGAACAGATCAACGACCAACCCATCAACCACTAGTGTGTAATTCTTCCTGTCACCCGATCTACATCTTACTTTGAAAACTACAAGATATAATAAAGCCTTACCAAAGTTTCCCAAGTGTCGCTAGTGTGAGGAGATTTGAGAAGTGTAATGAAGGTTTCGTCCCGCTGAGAAGCCGGAAAACATTGTACAACTGATTAACCATTACTGTAAATCATCAGAGGTGCACATTTCACGCCAGGGATTTTCGAACTCTCGACCTCCTGGTCAGAAGTCTGAACAATTAATCGTCTGGCCACGAGCGGCTTAGTAGCAGTGTGATTGACTCGCAGTCGACTGTCGTTTCGTTTCATTTGCCAATCACCAAAGGACTTGGCGCGTTCCATCGGACAAAATGAAGTCTCTTACAGATCTCCAGGACAGTCAAAAAATGGCCTGAGGATTATGAAGAACCGTGTCACGGCCATTTTTCCATGTATCAATTTCTACAGGCTATTTATATTGGTGCTAGCGGGCTTTAAACACCTTTTGGGACTTTTTAGAATCGGCGTCAAACGCCTCGGATGTTCATTAATGTTTCACTGGCCAACTAAATTGGGAATAAAAGGCTGAGAAAAGTGGTTAGAATACACGCCTAAGCGAATATCAGAATTTGTTGTGAACAGACTGACAGACGTACCTTCTGATATCCGGCTTTTCTACGTGTCAACACCTCAAGAAACGACTGCAGCGCTGGTGGTTGGATATGGTTACTCTATGAAGTAAAAGACGTTGTGACGGACCATTGAATTTAAGGCGATTCACGTCACCACGTGAGGATAGGTCGACCAGCCTGACCGTCAGATTCTGTTGCCCACACAGATCAGTGACAACATTTTTCAGATAAATTCTTAATTTAACACTCTCCGGAGTTTAACCCTAGATGTTCCTCAACCTGACATCGAGTCATTCGTGGGTTTCCATCCATACGCCCTGGAAGTGCCATTCAGCCGCCTTCAGAATTTTACCGAGAAGTATTTTGGACAACTGTGGATCACCATCGTTTTTTTCTTTCATGTGGTTATTATAATCACTTACTTCCACATCTGGAGCATATGTTTCTTCCACTGTACAAGCTAGATTCATCGGCTCATTGGATTTCCAAACAAGACGACTTCTCAAACAAAACTCAGAATGTACTGTCTTTCCTATGCATCTAGGCGCACACTATGACAAACCTGAAAATGGCCTAAACAATGCAAGGATCCTAGCCACTCCTCATGCCGGGATAAAGGAAGGAAATGTAGTTAACAACAATCGATCTGTACCAAACAGCAACACTCTTTGAAACGGTGTACGGTCAAATTTAGCGACATTCACTTCACTTTTGTCTAACGCACAACTCCCCCAAGGTGATTGGGAGAACGGTCTAGAGATCAAGCCTTGATAAATCTGCTATATTCCAACGACTCGAGCAACATAAAGGTAACGTTAGTGAGGGACTACTTGAAACCTTGCACTGTAGTGGTCTATCCGGAAATTTGAGCACCTCACAATATTTACCAATCAATAGGGGAACCCAGCAAGCTCAGGGTGTAACCCACATGCGCTGCGGTCGCAGGTTCGGTTAACTGCACACACACACACACACACACACACACACACTGCATAAACATCAGTTAAGCGGATCCAGAAGAATCTGGTGAACAAGTGGTTCATCTGCCTGAACTTGCTTCACTCTTAGTTTCTTGGTTCTCTACAAGCACAGTGAGTCTCCCCAGCGTTCGCTCTAGGTTTTAACGGTTGAAAATGGTGTCACAGATCAGGGTCTTGACATATGGTTGATGAACTCTGATAGAGGTAATTAAAAAATGAGTGTTCGGTTGCGCAACAGAAACTTCAGTCGAGAAATATGTTCAACACCCAAAGCTGCGCATGTTGAATCATCGCTTGCCCAAATCAGAGCGACGCACGCAGAGAAGCGACCAATAATTGACCTATCAAAGGGTATGAAAGAGACTATGGAAAGTCTGGGTACCATCGTATCTGCGTGATCCTCCTGGACATGGTTGGAGACACTGAAAGATGTGGCTGCTAATCGAAGTCAATGGCATTCTTGTTCAGTTTCTATGCCGTGTCTGAATGAGTGTCTGGAGGCGCAGGCACCTCGAAATAAGTGTAGTAGGTATTAATTCCCTGTCCAATCAATATTAGTTCTCCTTTTGGCAATAAGGCTTTCAACAAAATAGGGCTGTCCGGGAAATAGGCACGCATTTCGATGGTGACGATGATGGTCGATTATGGTAGTGCTATTCGAAATCAATTTTTCTGGTTGCGACTGCGAACGAAATTGATTTTTCATGGATGATCATGCGGAAAAGAAATGCCAGAAGAAACCACCCTCACCATCGACAGCAAAGTGAAAAGTGACATTCTAAAAATCACGATGTTGGAAGTAACAACCACCTCATAAGGTAATATCAACAGTTGAGACAAAGATCAATAAGACTGGGGTGCACCATCAGTAGGGATGATGCTCGTTATCAGACAGTCAATCTAATAGGCTGTGCAAAATTGCATGTGCCAGCGCCCTAAGATTCAAGCTGGTTTCTCGCACCTCAATGCGCATTTTCGAAATCCCTTAATGGTCAAGTGGATTTGGCGTGTAGCGAACGGTATAGTATTTAATATAATCGAAGAAACCGAATAGGAATACACTATCAAAGATGCACTACGAAAAATTACGCTAAGAAATCCGGATTCCTTCAACCATTCGATCAGTTGTGTGATGACCTGGTTAAGGTAAATAACTCTGCCGTCTTAATGCTCAACTGGCTTTTACTGCCAAATCAGCTTCTAAGAAAATGCCACATATATCGATCAGCAGAGGTGTCAACAACTTTCCACACAGTACTATACCACCTACTTTGATCCCGCAGACATCGCTGAAATCCTGTATGGCACGAGCCATGACCAAAGAGACGGGCAGAGTGGCGTTGACTGACTCCTTTCCGGTGGACGTTTTGATGAAGTCCGCACCAGCCAGCATGCAAACCATCGAGGCCGCATACACATTCTCATAGCTTCCGAGTTCGCCTACCGCCAGGATGGTCTTCAAATGGGCCCTACCACCGCACACAGCACGCATTGCACACACCTCATCATAGACCCCTGAGAGAGAAGGCGTATGTACACGTAGGTGATAGGCCAGTTATAACCTCATGCCTTCATAGGCAGAAATAGTCATTGGTCAATGGCAAACCACAGAAAAACAAAACCGTCAAGCCCTTGAGGAAAATATTCAGTTAACAATAGTTTCAATTCGCACGCAAATGACTGCTAATTTCACTCCTGCTGATATGTAACGCAATATGCAGAGCACGAAGTGCTTGAGAATTAGATTACAAACAAGCACAATACCTGGAAAATCTGTTTCACCTCGTGAGGCGCCGTCTCACAATTTTCATCTAATTAGGTTTTCATTTAAGAGGTTCTGAAGTCCATTGGTAGATTGAAAGGTATTCCTTACGGCGGGCGAAGTTCGCTTTACACTCCGTGGTCCACGTCTACTTGAAGAGAAACGATCCGGACGGACGATGGCGCGAGCATCTGCTGCGCATGCCGAAACACCGTCTACCGAGACAAGTGTTGTTCTCCGTGCCTCCAAAACGGTGCGAACCGCGTGGCAGACAACGCATGACTCCGAAAAAGGGCATGAAAGAGATCACAAAGAGTTTGCGTGCGGTTGGTGTTGTACGCCTTCCAGGATGGGGTCTCCGTGACCCCGCCCGTGATTGGCTGAAGACGTTGCAAGAAACGACGGCTAATCAAGGTCAGTGGCGCTCGCGCTGTACGTTTCTATCCAGATTGTCTGATTTGGCGCTTGGAGGTGTAGACACCTCAGGAGCTTGACATAGGCAGCACTAGGTCCCCTCCGTCACCCAGTCTTTTTCCCTTTTTTACTCAAGGGTTTTTCAATATAATCAGACGAATATTATGGTTGTACGGCAAGGAAACATTAGTGTCAACACTGATGTTGATGTCTTGATGATGATTATGATGACGATGATGATGATGATGATGATGATGATGACGATGATTATGATGACGATGATGATCATGGTGGGGATGATGATGATGATGATGCAGTACAACCATGATTTATTTGAAAGCCTTATTGTGTAGAACAAAAGTGGACGGGAAAAGGACATCACCAGCTTCCTGAAATATTTCTGAGCCGCTTACACCTCCGGACACTTCACGCAGTTTGGGTAGAAACTGACAACAAGAATGCCAATGGCACCGAACAGCAATCATATCTTGCAGCGTCTCCAACCACGCGCAGTGAGCATCACGTGGTCACTATCCTGAAGGACGATAGCACGATAGCACTCAAACGTTTCGTAATCTCTTTCATACTCCTCTGCAAAGTCAAGGGTTGATCACCCCTATGCTTCCGCCACCCTGAATAGGGCAGGGAAACAGCATTCTCTCAGGCAGACGATGGTTCGGCATACTCAATGCATGGCCTAACCAACAAAACTGCTGATACTGGACACATTTCACGATGGAAGTCCCGTTACACAGCCGAAAGCTCGCCTTCTTATTGCCTCGTTATAGATTTGCGGACACCAGCAGACATGTGCTATGGTTCCAAGACAACAGTTCTCAAACCCTTGATGTCGTCTCAGTTTCGCTGATCGAACAGTCTAAGTCTCACAGCCATAAAACAGCCCCCGTTACACAGCCGAAAGCTCGCCTTCTTATTGCCTCGTTATAGATTTGCGGACACCAGCAGACATGTGCTATGGTTCCAAGACAACAGTTCTCAAACCCTTGATGTCGTCTCAGTTTCGCTGATCGAACAGTCTAAGTCTCACAGCCATACAATAAAACAGCCCGTACTGTAACCTGATACACACGTCCCTCGAGATTGTGAGATATACCGTTTCGACGCCATAGGTGTCCAAATGAGCAAACGCGATCCGAAGCTTCCGGATTCATACATTGACTTAATCTATCATACCACCACACTTGCTCAAAAGGGGATGTTCGGAAATTCTGTGAACATAATCCGGTCCCTATGTTCACATACTTCTAGGCTTGTGAGAGTGTAGGGTGAGCTCTCACAAAGTTTTCCCATAGAAAGTTGTGCCCGACAAGGATGTCCAGCCTCTCCCTTCTGAACCAGCTTCGTCGATGACGAAATAATGAGGTGAACGATGTAGAGCCTCTAAACCATCCGGGTTCACATCGTTTCTGGTGAAAACCTTGTCCATCTGGAGGATACAGATGGCGAACCAATCTGCTGAATAAACTGATCACAGTATACCACTTTTCGACAGGCGGCTTAAACCCCTAAAGTTGAGTCATGCAGCAGAACGTGCAATCTCTGAATATGTTCCTTACAATTTAAGGAGAATCACTGGAGGTTGTATTATATCTGACGAAAGTGTCTGCCAAAGTCAGTGCATGAATCTCAGAGACCCGGATTACATTTGTTAATTTGCGTCACGTGTGGCGGTAAAATGGCATATCACTAGGTCTCAAAGGTCGCGTAAGGGCTGTCGAAACACCGTCTACTCTAACGAATGTGGTCTTCTTGCGTCCTTCAGAATGGCGCAAACAGCAAGTGGACAACGTATGATTTGGCAGAGGGGCGTGAAAGGGATGGCAAAGAGGCCCCAGATATCTTCCCCATGGTTAGCTGAAGACATTTCTGGAGATGGCGGCTGATCAATATCATTGGTGTCGGTCTATTTTCACATTGTCTGAACTTGGAGACGTAGGTGCTTCAGAATGCTTGCGATAAAGTAACACCAGGTCCCTTCCTCACTAACACTTTCTCTTCTTTTCACTTGGGAGCTTGAAGTGGAATTAAACAAACTTCGTGGTTGTAGGGCAATGAAACGTTAGTGTCAACACCGATGTTACCGTCCCTGATGACTGATGACGATATCACCTCCGAGGCCCAATCAACCTAATTCAACATTACTGATCTGATATTCCTGTCAGACTCGGGCAGTCCTCGGAAGATACCGACGATCAAACAACCCCCAGCTGCCAAGTTTCTGGTCCATATAACAATACGCAGAACACCACAGCAGCGTAGACTCAATCCATGACAGACAACTTGGTGTCACAACTAGGCCAAAAATGTCGCACCTCCGTAAAAGCTGGTCTGGTCTCCTTCATCTAAACGGCAATAACACCTTCAGCTAGACCACCAAAGCTGGCACACATACTAACGTAGACCAATGTGTCTATCACCTCAATCGACCCATCCGGAGGCATTATATTTGGGCCTGATTTTAACCCGTTTTGCAGCATTTCACAGTTCGCGGGTTAGAAACGCATTCTAAGACATGAGGCAGAATAAGTTGAGTTATTTAATAGCGCCTGCATTTCGGTGCTCTGAAGCACCCTAAGATAATTTCGGCCTCATCAACGGTTAACGACAGTGGTAGATATGGTTCAATCAAGCAGCCAGTGGCCTCCCCTCAATAAGCAACTGCTCCGTTTCTCGCTTCACTGGACAACTAGAATGATCCAGTACCAACTGACTATTCAACCACCTCGAAAGCCCAGCTACATCTCCCTTGCTCTTCCACTTTTTGGTGATCCAAACACCTGGAACCAGAGCTATTTGGAAAGAACAGGATCAGTAGACAACCGAAGAACAAGATGTCAGAGAGCTAATTTCCTCCTGGGTGCATAATGGTGTATGACCTAATTTGGGTCTTGTGCGTCATAGATATAGCACACGTCAACTTTGAGATAGTATAAGGATCTAACGAAAAGTGACTGTTTGCCAATTTGACAGAGAGCACGCGCCAGTCTGTGTAATATTAACTGACAGATGGCTGGTTCAGTGACTGATCCAATAACGTATGTTTGTAAGGTGGGAAGGCCCCTGGTGGACAAAGAAACGGGTACCGAAACAAAGAAAGGGGGAGTTAGTTTAGGTACCCCTCTTTGAGATCTCAATCCCAGTCTGGCTCACAAGTCGATGGGAGGAAAGTGGGCTTCCGTTCGGCCTTGTAATTGCCCCCGAATTAAGAGTGTGACTGTAGGAGGGGTCAATCATCTCGGAAGGGAAAGGGGAACCGCAAGGCGGATGCGGTTGGAGCTCTACCAGGCTCCTGATCGCTTTTAATTATTTTTCGACCGCGTTGGATGGGGCATCGGTGGTCACGGCCGAAGTGTGTGGTTTCTAGGGTCAACCTTTCCCAACCTGTCCTTACTCAGTGGTAAGTAACATCGCTGTGGCCATTACCACAGACATGCTGGTCCTTTGAAGATGTTCTCCTGGTTTCACATTTATATCGCGTAGGACAGTAAGACGATCTCCAAGCTGCATCGAATTGCGGTCACTTGTAGAACGCGGTCTCGATGCCCTTAGACTGAATGCCCACCTTTGGTCTGCCTGATATGGTTGCACTTTAGGGAAATTGCAGGCCAATGTAACCCGTGAATGCATGGGTTTAAAGCACTGCACCACTCAAGCCCAACCACCACGTCAGTCTGGCAGCTTCTGGTCTAGAGAACCAATTTGGTCAGTTGAATCAAAAAATAATGGATGAATAGTCCCGTTGGTGAGGTGGACCGAAGATTTTACTCTCCTAACCGATTATCTATAGTTTCAGTTAAGGCAGCTTACATGCGTTATTCGCTAGATGGTGTACTTCTGGTAGAAGTAGGATAGTTGAGACATCATAAAACATAGTGCAGAACAATAGTTTTCCAGCTGACTTTTGTGAACAAACTACTTTGATTCGTCGACACTAAACGTGTTTAACTGTGGCGGAACAAATGCCGAAACACAACAAGCCAATATCCAGTTTGTAGAAAAAGAACAACCCCAAACAAAGACAATGTGTCCCCCGGAGATGGTCTTTATATCGGTATCTGTAATAGAATCTAGCATAGGGAGATAAACGCGGATATTGGGGGACATAAATCCCATACCTTTCCAATTTCGTTGAAGTGCCAACGTCCTATTCAACACCACATCTATTTCGGTGGCTCCGTCATCTATTGCTTCTGTGATCTCCTGTAGTCGAGTTTTCAGTGGATATTGTCCTGAAGGAAAACCAGTAGCAACTGAAGGTGAGCGTGACGCAAATTTCAAAATGCACTACCAGCGGCAATTGGGAAGTCAGGGGCCCCGATTTGATGGAAAATCCGGCTACATGTTTTCACTTGATAAGGATACACGCATACAGCAGCGGTTCCTTCGAATAATACGTCAGAACAGGCGACCGGTCAACTCACTCAATTCTCCCAAATCCCAATCATACACATCTCTGAGTTTCTTCGTAATGCAAGGACTTAGAGGATACCTGGCTCTCACACACATGCGATGGACATTTGTGACCGTATTATCACCAGCCAATGTTGTCAAATCAATCAACGCGATGGCTTTCAGCAACCATTCAACCTGTTACGTAAGGAAGCACTATGCAAGCACTCACCTCTGCTTCCGGAGTAAGACAGACTGATGTCAACTGCTTAACCACTGGCACCAAATTGGATGCATCGATCGTATCATAAGTTAGCAGGCCGGAATCTAAGGAGGTTAGTAACAACAAGCGAGCCTACCAAATGGAGACGTGTCATTGACTCTCATCTCTAAAGGGTAGAAATAAACATTTAATTAGAACCTAGCGACTAAAATACGACGTCGAATTCCTGGACTATTGAAGACCCGACGGTGCAGACGTGATCAAAGCAGTTTATGTACAATTCTGAAAATACAGTATCCCAGGGTAGTAAGATAATCCAGAAGCAAGGACAATAAATCAGAATAGGTCCTTGTCTGCAACGCTCTGACCCGACCTAAAGCTGCCACCTTAACGTGGTGGTCGGGCTTGAGTGTTGCAACGATCCCGCGGGCTACATTGGCTGGAACTTCGGTCCACAAGGTGCAACCATGCCAGGAAGGCCAAAGGAGAGCAGCCAGACCAAGAACAGCGAGACCCCGTACTACGAGTGATTGTACTACGAGGTGGTCTGGGGGTAAAGTCGTGCTGTCCTCTGCGACAGGAGTGTGAAGGCAGTAAGGTGTTTCCCCCAGGCGACCAGCATGTCCATATTTATGGAAGCAGCGATGCTGCCTTCCCCCGAGGAAGGACGGGTTAGAAAAGGTCGGCCCCAAAAACCGCACACTCCGATCGCCCAACGGTTGACCGTGACCGCCGGCGCATTATCCAATACGGTCG